CACAGAAATACGATTAGTTGGGGTAATATTAAGCCAACCGATAACAACATTCGGTTGAAATCTTCTTTTTTTAATGGAAAATGGAAACACCTAATTATACGAAGAACATAGAACACTTTCCGGGGTATTTGAAACCGAAATTGTCATCTAACTCTAAGACCGTCGCTGATTGGCTGCTGAGCTCGAATGACAATTTTTTGTTTCACAACATGTCTCTTATTTAGTTTTATGCAGCAATTCAAGATGGCGGCCCCCATATAGTAAATATCGCATTTATTTTATTATCACGTGTGCGCCAGCTAACTGTGGTGTCAACATACACTGCTACGACTAAACACAACTGATTTGGATTGAAACTGTTCGCTCTCTATACTTTCTCCCAGCATGCAATATGCAAAATGGGGTTTGCTTGAGACCACTTAATGTTTTCTGAATATCATTGCAAATGAGGCGAGAAGTATGATTTAATTTTTAAATAACCTGTGAGGTTTGTAATAATCGCCTGATACAATATACATGTATACTGTTCGCTGTTATTATAATTCGTAATTGATACCTTCAATAAAAGTTTAATCAATTAAAAATGGTAAAAATATCTATATAATTTTGTAAATAATTCTTTCTTTCCGCATCGGGGTTGTGGTGGACCACGAACTCCGTCTACACAGCACGATATCATGTAATCTGAGTATATGTAGTACTCAGGTATCAATCTTATCTAGCCATATAGCAACCATGTTTGGTTTTCTAATACAATGAATGGTATTAAGTCAATAACAGTTACTTTGTGTGTTTTATAGCATGTTCATGTAGATGAACTGAACAAATCACGTATCGCTTTAGGTTACAATATAATTGCCCGATTGTCTCCGATACTTTGATTTCCTATGACCATGAACATAAATAATATTTTTATTGCTTAGACATTAGTTTTGTCTGGGATAAGATGCATATACATTGTAGATAAACTATTGTAGTTGAAAGACGCAGAACTGCGATGGTAAATTACATAAAAAGAAACAGTTTAAAAATCTTTTTTTTTTTGTCCGTTCTGACTTCCACTATATTGATTAAGTCACTTGTTAACTATGGCATACATGAAATACTCAGTAAACATCATCACATCCATGACTCAATATTATTCAACACGTTAATCTTTAAATCAAAACAAATCTGAGTCCATCTCGACTAAAAACAGTGCATTTATAGTTGTAGACCAACGTACGCGTGTCAGGTCGGGCAGTGTACGACAGATTTTATACCTGCATTTAGGTTTAATATGTAACTGTAGCTGATACACACGGTACCAGTGCGTGATTTTTTATCTGAGGTGACACGTATGTACGGCTCAAAGTTCATGCAAAATGGCTTGAGTGTAATTTTATATATTAAAGTTACCTTAGCATAGTTCGTCGCTACATACGTAGCGTTAATGTCTTCAATCACATGCTGAAATTCGTTATACGTGTGTCTGTTGGGGTCGCTGTCGCTGTCGTATCGCAGCAGTGACTGTGAGAAATAATCGTAGTCTTTTGCACTCGGATCTAATATGGTTTTGCACACGGTTCCTAAATCTGTGACATAGTACAATAGTACTACGCTTGCCTGGTGGAATTGCGGTACGTTTAAACCATATTTCATATCAGCATTAACGATGGTGAATAAACCCTCAACAGGAAGGCACTGATATGAAAGAAAATAATAACAACGATAACTAAAACATCATCGTATCTTGTGAACAAAATGGCCGCCGCATTTTAGGCTTGCAGTAATGAAAAATTTCGAAGCTGTTAACGGTCTCAAATTACATCTTATATTGAGCACTATTGTTTTAAGACGTTCCACTAAATATCACTCATCTGCAATTTAAAGTATTTTTTTCTATGTACAAACTTTTACAGTTATTGAATGTGTTACCTCTTGACATGACGTATTCGTGTTGGTAAAATCAATGGTATCACATTGCATTCTGTTCCATAATATTCGTATAATATGCTCAGTCTCGGTGGCTGTGATATTCGCCTTGCCTTCGGGTTTTACACTTTCTAAATATTCGTCAACATCGTGGAATGGGTCTTCGTCGTGTCCATGTGTACCGTACATAAACACTAAATAGCATGAAACGAATGCAACTAAATGGCTGCTGGCAAACATCACGAACGACTCCGATGGAAACAGAACAGGACAACTTGCTAGAATTGTTGCAGCCTCACAAAACACGTGTCCTTTGAAGGTAGCCTATTATAGGACAGTGGATATTGCGATTCGTTCCCTGGCAACCAACAGTATCGCATGATGGTGCCATAAACGAAATTACTTCATTATTCGTATTGATCTCAGATCAATCACAAAATAACTCGGGGGAAATCCTTACCATAATACAGAGTGACATAAACGGAGAAGCATATCTTCACGCATGCTTGACCAGTGAGCCAGAATCAACAAGGTACAAGTAACCTGTAGAATGCTGTGTAGGTAATATTTTATATTGATTTTTGTTGCATCTGCAGCAATTAGTTTCCAAACAATGAGAAATCTATAGGATTGGATATACTTCTCAGCTGGCTTAACATGCATAGTTCAAGCCTGCCTAACCAGTGATTATACCAGGATTTAGTTACAGCACCTAGACGGTCTGTGGTTACAGCTCCATGTTCCGAGTAATCGCAAAAAATTGACATTACAATAGAAAATAAAAGACTGGCACTCCCGTGTAATTAACAGCAAGTAAAAATTCCTGGGATTGAAACATAGATTGTGAAGTCACTGATGTAGGCAATGAATAACTCCAAGTTGGCATAAAAGACGAGGTAGTTTATTTAATCAGTACTGAACTAGAGGCTGAAATCCGCTCCGCTAGGATTGCCCTTATAATCACTTTTGTTGGCGATTCGCTCCGCTAGAATTGCCCTTATAATCACTCGTGTCGTTGTGTGTGATTTCCAGTGTTTTCACGTATTATTTCTTCTGTGATTTTTTTGGCTTGGCCGATTTCGCTCAAACATGACAGGTAGGTCACACCTTCACCCTAGTTATTAGGAACAATCCGAAAAAAATTTTTGTCCCACCGTTGCCATAGTAACAGCCAAAAAACTGATTTGTGGATAGCTTCGCGCCAAATGTATCTCCTCCTACAAATTTAGGAGTAAACACTTCAGACATAGCTCATTCTACTCAGCTTGAGTGTGGGTACAGATTTACTATTTGAATTTTTGATATTTTTTTTCATTACCGAGAAATCTGACCCCAAAGTTGGGGTAACTTTTCACAAACAACGGCTTTTAACTCCTCTGTGATTTTTTCGGCTTACCGAGAAAATTTACGCCCAACGTTGGGGTAACTTTTAACCAGCAATGGCTTTTAATTGCTCTGAGATTTTGGTTTGGCTAATTTTGTTCATATTTGACAGGCAGGTCGTACCGTCACTAATTGGAAAAAACAGTCTCGGTCCACTGCTATCATGGCAACAGCCAAAAACTTTCGTCATAAACCAACGCTAGCTTCAATGTTCATGTCTTACCATAGCAATAGCGGGAAACATATTGCTTGTTTTTTGAGCGGAGCGGATCTCCAACCAACCTACCGGCTTGTTTTCATTGGCAACCGAACTATTTTTATTTTGTTAACAAATTTTCGTCTGCTATTTTTATCCAGTTCAAATCGTTCAGCAACATTTTTGGCATATTAGGTGTACATCACATGGAATACTATGATTGAGAGAACTTGATGTATGTTGACTGAGTTTTATAAACCCTGAAGGATCAACCCGCAGTAAAATAAGCGATTGCCATGAAGAGCAACTATCAACATCAAAGTACCAGGAGGTTTCTGCTGGCGACGTTTCGGCGTTACCCAGTTCCAAATAAAGATTACCATCGCCAAATGAGCAACATTTAAACCGGTAATTAGGATTAATTCAATCCACGGCTAACAAGCTACATCACAAGCGACGTTGTAGCGTGCAGCTCAGTGACGACCGCTGCGATGAAAGTCATCCCTTCAGTGGAGTACCACAGTTGCACGGCATGTTTGCCAATGCAAAATTCTGTGGAGTACTTATAACTTCAACATAGAAATTTAAACTACGTATGACTGATTTGAAACGTTCCATCGAGATCGGACGGCGGCCCAACTGCACCCTTGAACATTGCATTCAAACGAATCTTGTGGTGTGTCGTTCCCCTTCAAACCCGGGATTCAATCAATAGGGGAGTTTCAGTAAAAAAACACATCGCTAATCATGCAAATTCACCATTTTCAAACCAGTATACTAAAACAGAAATGCTCAGCGATGCAAAAGAAGTATAGATATTACGTTTCAGTATACACATCTCTGTTAATACTGTCCTTCACATATTCTACTCCCAATTATTACTGCGTAAAATGGAATAGCCTCTTTCCATGTTGACATTTTGAGTAAAATCACGTGATAGGCTGTTAAAATTGGTTGTTACATAGTCTTTCGCCGGTCTGGAAAATGTGTTTAATTAGCTCTCATTCGAGCATCAATGCAGATTTCCCTGTGGGAGTGAAACTAGGTCGACTCTGCCATTAAAAAACAGGCGTGTTTTCAGCACAAAACGAATAACCCTGGAGTGCACACAGCACACTGAATTTCAGAACAAATCTTGCATTAGTTACAGCCGCAGAAAATCAGACAAAACATGAAAACACTATATATTGTATTTCGGCCTGAACCCTCTCTATTGTAATTCAGGAAATTACCCCCGTATGTGCATCCATTTTCCTCCTTGGTATCACCCACCCCTGAAAACAAACTCTTAATACCACGCTGAAGCATTTGGTAATTCCTCAGCTCCCTAGAGCGAGGTAATTTGTATTTATGTTGGTGATCGTCGCTGTGTTTGCGGAAGTACTATGGGTGATTGCATGATAGGAGTCTTTTGATCAGTAACATAATTTTAGAAAAGTGAAAACTAGAATGACGCAAAATAAAGGTTGGTTTTAAATAATAAATATCATGAAATCTGGATGAAATAATGAAAGGAAATCGAACTGGTATGAAAAGGCAGTAAATGTAGCCAGAATTCAAGGTCAGGATCCGGGGTCAAATACGCCACAATACATCCATCATAGCGGCTGCAAAGTGTCGACAACTATGGATGCGGTATTAGCCTTGATTTGCAGTTTTCGTGATTGGCCGGGGGAAAATACATGCAAAATCTGTGCTTCAGTAACAGTATTTGCTGTTTTTTTGTGCAATGGAAATTAATATAAGAAATGCTGAAAGACATTTCCTTAAAGTAAAAAAACAACTTTTGGAGTTTATGTGAAAAATTGAGAAGACGAACATCCCTTGGGACAGTCGTTCTTGTGAAACAATGGACATACTTCTCCAGGGTATCAAATGTATTATTTGAAGTGAGAAACCGCTGCTTTATCGAGGAGCAAAGTTCAATATCATTGGAGAGAGTAATTACCCCGCACATTAATGATTGGCCTCGGCTGGTTGAAGACGTTTTTAGATGGAATGACTCCTAGAAGGATTCACCGTGACATGGACTTCTCATTCGGGTTTATACAACACTTGTCGAGACATTGTTTTTGAAATTGTCAAACAGTGAAGATACGTCATGGAGCATGATCTGATAAATAGAATCAGAGGTGGTGGCACAAAATTGTACATGCGAGATCTGCTAACAATCCCTCGCGACGAAATTTTGAATCTAGACCCTCTGAAACGCTATTTCCTGCATTTGAGGGGCAAATTTGGCTGACATACATCGCTGAGTTTAATGTCATCTCCAGGGAAAACTTACTGACCCAGGTTTGATTTTTGATTGGGGGAAGACCCCGGTGCCGCCGCCACTGAGAATAGACAGAATTTTAGGTTTAGTTTCTGTGTTTCATTGTTTCCAAGTTTTATTATTTATTGTTGTTAGTTTCTAAATTTCAGTTCTTATTGTTCATAATTATTTACAGTAATAAAACAGTTTTTCATTCTGAAATCATTCCAGTTATTATGGTTGTGTAGATGACAGCGTTCCCCCACAAATGATGATATTATCAGGGGGAAATTCTTCTCTTCGGGGTTCTCCACATGTGCCAGGGGGGAATAGCGTCTCGTCTCTCTATCGCGTTCCCTTGAGGTACGGGGTCGGGAAAGTCACTAAATTTTACAGTCAAATAAGACACACACAACGAAATACGTTTCAACTCTCGTTTTAGTCGGCCAGTCAAGTACCCTATCAGTCACAGCGCCCTGGGGAAAAAATCCCCAAGACTATCGCAAGGCTGAACCAAGACTCGCCCAAGACTGGACTGCCTCAAGGCTCGCCCCAGGACTCGACTCTCGACTGCGTCTATCGTGGTGTATTCGTCAAGACCAACTCAAACTCTCTTTATTCATTTTCAAAATTCTAACCAATTACAAAGCAGTAAAAAGACTCTAGGGCGTAACCTTCAATCATAAAGCCAATCACACTAAGTACGTTCACTACATTAATAACTATGGATACCAACTGTCAGAAGGTGTAGTCAGAATAGCGACGGTTATCTCGTAATTAGTTCTAAATCACTGAGCCAAGTTCCGTCCAAAACTTCAAATAGGCCTAAACGATGACAGACATAACACAGCAATTCGCTAATAATCAGCTAATTAAGTCGATTAACAGATACGCAAAACAAATCCATGACACATCCCTTCACCCAAACTGAGATTATGCCTCCCGGCATTGCACGTTCACAAATCAAAGACCGTCATCTACTCATCGTCATACGGGTTAAATACAATACTAAGAAAAGTTATAAATCAAAAAGAGTAAAACACGCTAATTAAGTACAATGATTATAATGTCTAAATACAATGGTTATACTCTATAAAACACAGCGCCCTGGGGAAAAGTCCCCAAGACTATCGCAAGGCTGACCCAAGACTCGCCCAAGACTCTCCAGGACTGGACTGCGTCTGTCGTGCTGTACTCGCCAAGACCAACTAAAAACTCTTTATTCATTTTCAAAATCTTAACCAATTACAAAGCAGTAAAAAGACTCTAGGGCGTAACCTTCAATCATAAAGCCAATCACACTAATCACTGAACACGTCATATCTTTTGGTTAATCGTTCAATATATTAATAACTACGAATACTAACTGTCAGAAATAGTAGTCCGAATAGCGACGGTTATCTCGTAATTAGTTCCAAATCACTGAGTCGAGTTCCGTCCAAAAAATCGCATGGCCTAAACGATGCCAGACATAACACAGTCGTTCACTCGTAATCAACTAATTAATTCGATCAACAGATACGCAAAACAATTTCATCATAATATGTACGAATATGTGTGAGTATGTTTCATGGATTAATAGGCCACTCCTTTGCTTCAATTGCAACTATATCTCTGGAAATGTGACTTGCTGTTTATCATCAGAAATTTCACAAGGCAAAGGTCAATAAAAAAATACCTTCAGCCCAAATCACTTCATTGAGAAAAACATTAATACTAAACAGACGCATTTATGACTCAGTTTGATAACATCATCCTGTTGCTAGCCACCTGAGCCGAGAAACGTTTCATTTGTCACGCACTCAGTATTTTTGAACTCTTTTAAATAATTGAATTTCCGTGGGGGAGGTGTAATCAGCAAGAAAATACAGGCGTATATGGGTGCGCTTAGTCTCAATTTTAGTCTAGTTTTACGTCAATTTCAACACAGTCTTCCAGAACACACGTTTTTTATATAATTCACAGGATTATAGTATACTGGCAGCCTATTGGCTGACATAGATTTTTATTGAGATGTATACTGTGAAAAAGAAATAAAATCAATCGGGCTAGCAGTTTTGGAGAAGAAGTTGAAAAAAAGCACATTGTGTGACAATACATTAACATAAAGAAAATGGTTCTATAGTTATATATATATATATATATATATATATATCCTCTCAAATAAAGGAAATTAGTTAGTCACTATACCATGTACTTTAACACTAAAGCAAGAGAAGAGACATGTTGGTGAGTGTTTTATTGTTTGCAGTTTTTAAAATACTATTTTTTTGGCAAATAAAAAAAATAAAAAAACAAAGAACTGCAGACCTCCCATCTTTATATTTTTGCGTGGGCCAGCCAAGTTACCACATACAAAAATACACATAATATTTCTATTTAATTTATTACCATATACAAACAAATTGTTTGAACACTATTTCACCTTAATATTGTATTTATTTAATATTTACATTTATTCCCGACATCACATTCAGGATCTACAACAGTAAATAAATAAACAGAAATCATTTTGATGCCATGTTTTTATAAGACACCGTCATATCATTTTGATTTGCACCATACCAATTCAAGCTGCAGGGTGTCTAGACAATGACTCAACAACCAATAAAGACATCTTCCACCCACAATAAAAATTGTAAATTTGATAGGACGCAACGTAACAGTACAGTGAAATTAAAAAGGTTGTTCATTATTGGCCTGTGCCGACCATGAACAGCCCTGACACTTTATGGGCGACCTCATTGAGTTAATAGTGTGCCATTGTTGTTTTGACTATGCTGCATCAGGCGTGTCGCGGCCTGATCCCAAGTATTTATAAATACCCTAGCAATTTAACTATTCCCTTGGACCGATGACGTGCCGGGTCACGTGCTCTACATTGCTAAATTTATTTATGCGATATCTATGACCCCCTTGACGCGGCATGAAATCTTCAGTGCGTGTAAATGCCGTACTAACACTTGGCTGACTTGCAATGCGACATCTATCTGCCCTGCCGTCTACTAAGTTTTGAACCGTAGGTCAATGATCAAGTTATTTATCCCTGTCAGATGGATAACCTCATTATTCTCGACGTGTACAGTCCAGGGCAGTACGCAGATTTGTAAAGCATCAATTGCAACGATGTCTTTATCCGAAGCCGTTTCTGCCATTAATGCAAGGTATATTGAGCTATACAAGGTGGGTGATATGAAAACCCTCGCGACGGAGCTGTACCATGAGGACTGTAAACTGATGATGAGCGGCTTTGAACCAATAGTCGGTCAGAAAGGTGCGTGCCGTTCACAGTAACAAACACATGACAAACATGTGCAATTGTGGGTTACCCAAACTTTAAATTCTATCAGACAATAAGCAACATAAGTAAATATTGTATTGTATCATTGTATTGTATTATGAACGGACCGGATTTATATCTATAGCATCTCGTTTCGTTGTTTATAGTGTATTACTTGTAAATATGTATTGTAGTTGAGAGTTACTAAAACGAAAGACGAATGACGCGGAATAACAGCATTACATTACATTACATTACATTACAGAACGAGCCATAAACCAATTAATTATATTTGGGCTAGATATAAGCAATTAAACAATGTTTGACATTGTTTGGATCACCGGCAGAGATAGCTGGGCAAAATGGCCGACTTCCGCCCGCGGCCATAACGAATGTATAGCATAAAAATATATTAAAACAAAATTGAATTTTGAGTTTATATTTTTTTTCATTTTGTGTGCTTCGTAATAGACAGTTGACGTTAAAAACTTTCGATATATTATACTAGGTGTTCCATTAAAACCACACCATTAAATGCCCAACTTGCCATAAAACCTGATGATAAATCCTATGCTGGCTCAATGTATTACCAATGGACGATGTGTATTTCCCTGTCAGGAAAATGTCGTAACGTAGGTGACTTTTCAAGTTTGTTCGCTTCGTCTCGGATACTTTGGGGTTCAATAAACTCAGCGACGAAGCTGTAGACGCAGTATTCGCAGCTTAAATTAGCGTTGAAATTCTTTGACTTTTTTTACACAGATGTACGATCTAATTGTGAGCATTTAACAACAGGAAGTAACATAATTCAGGATTTAATACTGATTATGTCCGTCATTCCATGTGAAACCACCCCAATGTTCGAATGTGAACCACTATCGCCATACTGCTTTTGGTGTTAAATGTCAGACCACAAGATAAACATATGATATCGCTGTGATAACCGGTCATTTTTCTTCTTTTTAAAAGAGGGCTTTAATCACGATGTCTGTCCGTGAGTTGTGGACTGTTCTACGACAGTCTTGACTTTTGTCTTGTAATGCGTCAGACAAACGTATTTTGCATACCAATGATGTTCACAAGATTAGTCTGTCCACAGATTCCTTTATTAAGTATCTAGCAAGCGGCTGTTTTTAATGCGATCTTAAGATTGTACCAAATGGTATCTCGTTCTCTGGCAACCATAACCATTTATTGGATAGCTTCATATGATCAGCTAACAAATACAAGTGGGTATAGTACAAAGGGAACAAAATATTACCTCATTTACTATTGTTCCCTCCAATTAAACTACTCACCATAACAATATACCCTCAGTAAGCTAAACAATAGACCTTTAACGTCCATGGCATCATCTGTTGTCTTGAATAATTTTGCATGTAATTACAGTCACTGCACTGGAATAGACAAGAAATTCCTACTTGACCAGATTCTATTCTCCATTTCCGTCAATGAAAAATCACTGAAGTTATTTTTTACATATTACTGATTACTGGGAAAAGAAGATTAATAACATCAACACCAACGATGCCGACATACAAAAGTTCCCTAATAGACCTCAACCTTCATTACAATTACGTCAAGGCAAAAAAGATCGACAAATGTTTGTCTGAGTGTTTTAGAGTCGCTCTCTTTTGTTCATTCCACACTTATTGTGAAGTTGTGCGAGTTTACATACTAATAATACTGATGTTCACGAATAGTGTGCTAAGGAAAACATAAAGAAACTATCACAATCTTGCCATTAAATAATGAATGAGAATAGTAGATGTGCGTCATTAAATGCCAATGATTTAACATTAACATATTCTTTTCTAAATAAATTTCATCTAGTTACGAGAGCTGAAAGTGATGATGGTACATGTGATTTTTCTGATGCATGTTAGTGTTCATTCAAGTTTAAATTTTAATATAATAATTAAATATAATGACAAAATATACTGAATCTTGAAAAAGGTAGTTTCTGTCCAGACACTGTTATTAAAATGAGTTTCTAGCCTAGGCTTTAATTTTTATTTTATTTCTATATGCGTTTTTTTTTTATTCTATAGTTTGTTTTTATTATTTGCTGGTAGTTATGCAGGGTTTAGATAATCACAAAGGTATATAAGATGTATATATATGTATGTGTGTATGTATGTATGATGTATATAAAATGTTTATATATGGCTAAACAACTTGCACACAAAACAAAGGGTACTCAATTGAAAAAGAGTACCGCCAATAAACACTAAAATCCTAATACATAATAACAATGGTAGGTAGAGAAATCTTTATTCTAAGTGGCGATGGTGTTCAAAACTGGCGATTATGACGGTAGTCAGTCAGTAACATAAACATATCCATGCTAGCAAGTTTGCTCTTCTGCTTTTGATTTGTTGTCATGTTACTCCTTGTGTTTTTATTTGACAAATTGTGATAATTTTTTCATTGTAACGTATTTTTTAAAAGCTACATAGTATTCCTAAAGACACAATTGATCTTAATTGATTTACATTTGTAGGCGTGGTAGAAAGACTGGACGCAATGCAGAGAACTGGTGCATCGGAATTAAAGTTGACTTCAGAAGAAATTGATGGGATCGAGACAGACACAGCTTACTGTCGTGGAAGTTATGTGTTTTATAAAGATGATGGTTCAGAGATGACCGTTGGCAAATATCTGTTAATCTTGAAGAAGGTGGATGGAAAATATCGTATCTATCTCGATATTGATAACAGTAACAATTGAGTACAAATTTGAAATCAAGTCGAATTGAATGGTGTCCTCTGAACCAACAGATGTAAAATAAACCATTTGTACAATAAAAAAACTGCTCTGTGTTAGTTTCAGTTTTTGATTCCCACGAAGACTATCACACAGAATTACCGGACAATTCGTATCGGCGGTACCAAATCATCCGGCAAGGTCGAACATTGGTCAGATAAACAGACTGTGTTATTTTCAAGACAATCTCGATTTCTGGTGGGAACTGCATTTTTAAAAAAAAACTATTTGTAGTTCCTAATTGCTAAATTGCATTGCTTCTAAGTGTTTGTGATTACCGTGTAGCTGTAAATATCCATTTTAAGGGGTATCGTGATACTTTTCCTGTTGCCCAAGATCAAAGCTGGACTAACCTATATATATATAAGCCCACTTATAGGTGTGTCATTCTGATTTTGTCAGTTTAAACAATACCAACCTGTTGTCTACTCTTTGCAGGTGCTATTGTAATTTTATTCAAATTCGGGGTAAAAATAGTATTGACAAATTGCACGACTATTGTGTTGAAATGGAAGGTTAATGTGATTATCAGTAAAATATAGATCAGTATCCTCAACAAAAGAGGAAGAATAATTGACTATTTTACGACAAATCAACAGATTAAGACAGCTTCTTTACACTTTACACTAACGCAACGTCACAATCCAGTGAAATTTAAAAGGTTGTTCGGTCTATGCCGACCATGCGCAGCCCTGCACTTTATGTGCCGACTTCATACAGCGTCCCGTTGTTCATTCCATTATATTAGGCTGCATAAGGATTGTCGCGGCCCCAGCTCTATATATTTGTAAACACGCATGTTGGCTTGATCTGATGGCGTGACTGGGTCACGTGCTCATCGTTGCTAAATTTATCTACGCGGCCTCTGTGACCCCGTAAGTTAATGATATCATTGTCGATTGTGCGACGTCATTGAATCAACGTGTCCAGACTAGGGTAGTACGTTATATTTACAAGCAACACACCTCTACGATGTCTATAAAATCGGTCATTGAAGCCAATAATGCACGGTTTGGAGAGATGTACAAGGCTGGGGATATGAAAGCCCTAGCGACGGAGCTGTATCACGAAGATTGTAAATTCATGCCCAGTGGCTCTGAGACTAAGATAGGTCAGAAAGGTTGGTGCCGTCTCCATTAACAAACACATAAAACATGTGCACACGTGGGCGGGTCAAAATCCCAATCTCGAACGAGAGCATGCAACATGTTGTTCAAATATAATTGTATTCGTGAATGTATGTATGTTTATTGCCGTTTCTATTGCTAGTCGCTCGGTTCTGTGTTTTACCCGTACTAGCATGGATTAATGCACATGAGGTAAAAAGATCGGCCGAGTCTTCGTCGTCCTCGTCGTTAAATGTTTGTTGTGTTTACAATACCGGGTTGACTACCTTCGCAATAGGCCACATATTAGCAGTGTGCCACCAATTCTTCCATACCCCTATACTGCTTGCCATACAGTCATCATTTTTCGTTCACTGGGAGATCCCGCGTTATGCGTGAATTCGAACTTAAAAACAGGACAAACAAAGATCGTAGCGTCGTGGTGGCGACAAACATGGCGTGGGATTCGACAAACACGAAAGTATTTTGGGGGATATTTCCATGTACAGTAATGGTATCCAAACGCAACATTCCCCTGTCAAAGATCGGTCTTTCAAAGTGAGCTTCGAAATAATATAAAAGTTCGAAATCGAATCAATTTTTGCGGTCGGACGTTCGGCGCGCGTCTTTCACGCAACTCGCGAGATCTCGCAGTTGAACAGAAAATCACTTATTCTAAACTGATACCCATATTTATTATATAAGGATATTTATTATATTTTATTGAGTTGAAAGCATGCCTACTGTATTACCAGGTCTAACACTACTGACCTATGCCAGCCTTGACTCACACATGATGTCAAGTCCACATTACAATAACTAAACTACAGTGATGAAATGAAAGATAAAGAATATCATAGTGTGAAAAGAATTGCATCTTATTCATTGACTGGTTGGGTTACATACGGTATTTCCAAATATACTAAACTCAGTAATATGTCCCTAACATGGCCCTTGTTACATGATGATTAGTTATGTTATATGTCATATTTATAATAATAGCTTACAAATCACCGGTAAATCATATTTTTCTTCCAATTTTTTTTTCAGCTGATTGATGAATATTCAAATTAATTATGACCAATCACGGCTATTGCATAATAATGCAGATTAAGCGTTATTACATTTACGATGACACAGTATTTATCCTTTTTGAGTGCTTTGATATTTATCATTGAAAACACAAATTATACAAATGTCTACTTTGATACGGAAATTTCATGCAGATTGGTGACCCCTCCCCCTGCTGCATACACACGTTTATATATAGTTTAGCTCGACATTATGACACTATGAATTCTCAAAAAAAAATACATTAATATATTCACAACTCCTATAATATTGATAAAAAAATCACCTAAGTGAAATTAATACAGCAGTACACGGGGAAGTGTATGGTTGAGGGAATGGTTGGGGTAAATAGTGTTTGTATCGTAGAGGAAGAGAACTGTACATTAAATTGATAATATTGTGTTTATCATATCGGCATACTTATTAACTTCCAAACTTAATAATCCACTACTTCTTTCACGAACATGGTGTTTTTTTAATTGGACTCATGTTTTGCCGGCTGTTACAATTTTAAAGTGTTTTCCTAGCATATGCAGGTTCAAATCGAACAAGGTACACATCGAGAGCACTTGTTGAGGAACAACAATATGATGTATCCGACAGGAAAAGCTGAAAATTACTTGACTAACCTCAAATAATAAATTTCCTATTTATAATTTTGAACTCATACCGTTCGTTCCAGTGCTGTTACATAAGCGAAAATTTGTTGAGAAATGTTAGGTTGATAAAAAATTGAATATTAACAAAATGTTGCGATTGTTATTACTAGTACTACTGTGAAATATCAGTTTCCGAAATTAAAACGGGGAACCATAATACATTGTTTTGATTTTCTTTTAGCAAACAAAGTCCGTTGACGAAGCCACATAAATTGTTCACACATGTTCAAGTGGAGACATTTCCTCTCATGATATTTTAATATTTGAACTAATTTTGATTTATTTTATTTGGGCCAGGCAGGCCTAGCACTGACATACAGCGAGTACTCGCTGGAAGTCTCGGTCAGTACTCGTACTTAGTGAATGACGACCTGGTTGTACAAACAACGGCTTTGTGTTTTGTACAGGGTACAGTACAAGTACACTACAGTAAAGTTCAGCGTGATACCAGTTACAGTACAACGATCATTTACCCATGCTCGCGTTCTTCGGAAATCTAAAAATAGACTACCTTGAGAAAGTCACGTGATTTATCTTCTGAGCATGCGTAGTGGATTCAAATATTTGTGTGGTGTTTTGAAGAGGAAACTGTTTCTCGGTACTTCACTCGAAAGGTATACATGCATGCCAGGTACATTTATTCGTGATATATGCTCTTTGAATATCACAAAATAATAAATATTAAATTCGAATGTACATAATTTAAGACATTTCCCAATCCATGCTTTTTATTTTCTGAGCTAACATCCCTAGCCACACCCACACACACACACACGTACACATACAGATCTTACTATCGTTGTGACGCCACACATTGGATTAACTTTGAATATAGTTGAATTAACTTTTAATATAGTTGCGATATGAACTCGATTAAAACGCGTTCCTATATAGGCTGCGTTTTAATTGGAGTTTGATTAATTAAACTCAATTACAATGCAATACAACGTAGAATTGCGTTTCAATTAAGTTTAATTAAATAAACGTTGAATATCCCGTGACTGAACATAGAAATAGTTGCGAAGCTTAGATTTAGTATCGGGGGGGGGAGGGGTATGGTACAATTATATTAATATAAACTGAACCATACCTTCCCCTGATACTAAACCTAAGCTTCGCTAAGTTGACTTAAATTCGATTAAATATTAATATAAATTATGAAAATAGTCAACAAAGTAAAAGGATCTCACTATTCACTGACGGGCTTCACTTTGTGGGTATGTGTCCATGGATTTGGCATCACTTGGATAGAAAGACATGACTACCCCACACACAAGTAGCGCATAGTATTCTGGGTAGTATCGCTCGTCCCCTTGATCAAACACGATACACTCGTACATATCCCCCCACGCGATGTTTAATTTGCATGTGTCCAGAAATTGTTTTGTTTTGTTTTTTTATACGTCAATTGTAACTTTTGCATGTTGTGTAAATGTATATAATTCATTTGCAGGATATACCAAACATTTTTAGTGTCTATGTTATGGGAGTGTACATAACAATATTAACGATTTATCGAATTGTGCGCAGAGGAAAACATAACGAGAGTATCACAATCTTGCTATTAAATAATGATTGAGAATTTTGGATGTGCATTATTATACTCTAATGAACTTAACATTAATTACTCGAACATGCTAATTGTACGAAGACTTGGCTAACCTCTATTAACTACTTTAAACTTAGTTTGTGTTGCTCATTTCAACTTTACTTACAAAAGCCAAAATGGAGAATTGATAATAAAATATTAGTTTGCCATTCATTGGTGGATGCTCAAATATGATATGAAACATGAAAGCACATCTAGATGTATTAAATTAAATGTGACCTCGCAATGCTAACGTCCCTGGTAAGCAGATAGTTATTTAAATGGTAGCCGTGTTCACCCTACTCCCTTTTATGACAATCGCCAATCATTAATAAGTAAAACCAAGATAGTGTTGTTTTCATCTTTATTGTTTGAATTTGTTTGGCGCACCATGTAGTACCTCATTTAAAGACAAAAATTGTTTATTTATGACGTAAAGTAATTTACCTTTTTAGATGTGGCAAAAGAACTGGAAGGAATGAAGGCGGCAGGTATATCGGGAATGAAGTTGACTGCGGAAGAAATTGGTGGGATTGAGAACGACACAGCTTACGATCGTGGACAGTACTTTCTTTATAAAGATGATGGCTCCGAGATGGGCGTTGGAAAATATCTGGTGATCTGGAAGAAAGTGGATGGAAAATATCGTGTTTATCTCGATATTTTTAACAGTAACAATTGAATACTAATTAAGAATTAAGTCAAATTCAATGGATTCCTCTGAAATCACAGTAAAATAAACCATTTGTCCAATATTGAATACTGTTTCGGTTTTTGAATTCCATGTGTAAAGCACACAGTGGGAATCAGTGTTGTTACCCTGTCTGTGTGTTTTGGTACAAACTCAAAGCTAGAATGGCCGATATTCTTACCTTGGTGTTTGCTTGCGTGTGCGTTCGTTTGTCTGTCTGTTTTTCCCCCAGCATAGACCGATTTCAATAAAACTTGTTTACTGAGACGGAGTAAAAATCTATAAGCCTGGCGTTGGGGTGTTCTGATTGGATCAAATATACTATAATCCTGATATCACCACTGACGGACAAGGAATGGTAGTGCGGATAGGTTATTCAGTTAACAGTACTGTGCACAGGCAAGTCTAGTGCAAGATTTTATGCGATCATAAGAATGGAAATATGTGAGAAAAAGCTTTGACGGTAAATTTGACAAAACATTCGCGATTCGTGCATGTATATAAAGCGTACCAGCTTAGGATAAATATATATATATATATATATATATATATATATATATAGAAGAACCTTCCCCAAATAAAAGAAATTCTTTTATTTCAAAAAATAAGAATTAGTCACTAAACCATGTACTTTCACACACAAACAAGAGATGGGATGTGAGACATGTTGGTGAATTAGTGTTTTATTGTTTACAGTCTTAAAAACATCAGTTTTTTCACAAATAAAAATGAAAAAAAAAACTGCAGACCTCACATTATTATATTTTTGAATGGGCTAGCCAAGTCTTCACATTCAAAAATACACATACTATTTCTATTTAATTTATTTTATTTTATTATATAATATTTTCATTGAATTCTCAAATTTGCTATACAATTTGATCAGTATTTCGCTTGATTTCATTGGATTCATATATTCACCAAAATGTGCATATAGTTGCATCAAGTGAGAGGTAGACCAGTAACAAATAATAGTGATAGAGGGAGAAGGAAAGAAGGGACGGAGGACATGGCATATTTGACAATCACTTGAGCCGATGCCAATACACTTGGATAAAATCTGCTTTTCAAAATTGAAAATGAACAAATGACCACAAAATACATTAAAATACACCATCTCAAACGCCCGGGCTATGACATTAAAAGGTCCACCCCCAACTAAGGTCGTGAGTGTGAACAATACTTTACTGTTACCATATACCATAGTAATTTGTTGGACACTATTCCATCTTTATATTTACAATAATTATCCTTGTATTTAAATCTGTTTCAAGACATTTGAGGGATTTGCTTTAGAACAAAGCAATGGTGATGGCACGGGTGGGAGCTCTAGGAAATAGCGTTGCAGAGGGTCTAGATTTTAAAATTGAGCAGATCTCGTCCCCATGCAAAATTACGTGCCGCCGCCTCTGCAAAACAATACAAGGAGGAGATTTTGGTGTCAAAATTTGCTCCCAATTCAAATTCAAATATTGCCAGCAATAATTAATAAATCTTGTTCAGCATATCATTTATTCCTCGATATCATATTTGTTGGCTAGTTATCTGGATCTACAACAGTAATAAATAAACAAATCATTTTGAAACCATGTTTTTTAAGACACGCCCCCCCCCCCTCCAGGGCCTATATTGATAATTTGATATCGAGACGATATTAAGTCACTGCAAATTTGTTGCAGATTAGAAGAAACGCAACGCAAAAATTCAAAAGTTTAAGGGCTTGTTTATTTTCGTTCTCTATCATGCATAACACAAGCACTTTGAGCACCGAATTTACTTATTTAAACGTGGAGCGTTGTTCTTTCGAGTACACTGCATAATGTTTGTCGCCGCTAGAGCTTTATGTATTTATAAACGTCGAACTACTCAACTGTTCCCTTGATCTGATGATGTTACCGGGTCACATGATTTACATTGCTGAATATACGTATCCGTTCTCTATTGAGTGTTGACTCGTGGGTCAAAGATATCTTTGTGGACAGTGTTTCAACAATTAACGACACCATTGCAAGCCAGATTTACAGCAAGACACTTCTACCATGTCTACGAAATCGGTCATTGAAGCCAGTCATGCAAGGTGTGCTGAGTTGTACAATGCTGGTGACATGCAAGCTTTAGTGACGGAGATGTACCACGAAGATTGTAAATTTATGCCGAGTGGCTCTGAGACGAGGTTTGGTCATGATAGCATGCAATATGCAGCTTGTTCATCAAATAAAATTGTCCCCGTGAACGTATGTATGATTTTGCCGTTCCTATTGCAGCTTGGTTCCGTGTTTTACCCGTACTAGCGTGGATTAATGCACATGGGGTAAAAAGGGCAACAGAGTCTTCGTCGTCCTCGTCGTTAAATGTGTGTTCTGTTTACAATACCGGGGTCACTACCTTCCTTATGGGCCACATATTAGCAGTATTGGCAAGATAGCATGCAACATATAGTGTTCGTCAAATATAAATGTATTCGTGAATGGATGCTTGTCTATACAGTATCTATTGCATCTACAAGCTAGGTTAAAGTACATGAGGTATAAAGGTTGACCGACTCCTCGTCGTCCTCGCTGTTAAATGTGTGGTGTTGTTGTTACACTGCCAAAGTGACTAGTGCTAGGCAACAAAGCAACAGTGTGCCACCAGTTCTTCCATACCGCTACCCTTAGCCAGACAGTCTAAACTAAACTAAATTATTATTTGTTTAAATTAAATATGCAAATAATCACGGCCATTGATAATTATTACATATCAGATAACACAGCTTTCACCACTGTGGGTGGTCTGATTTTGCAAACACAAATACGAAATATAGCTGCAAGCAGCGATTAACGGCTTTCGATGTAATGCCTGAGTTAGCACACAATTGCATTTATGCAACATAGTTATGATATTACACTATATCGAGGATAATGGAGACATGTACTGTGATCAGTTTAGTATATAATGTGGGGAAATGTGCTGTTATGATAAATTGGTGACAGTATATGTGAACCATGACCAGTTCACTATATTGGGACCAGTCTATCCGGCTTTCAAATCACGTAAAGAGCCATAATACCATAGAATTTGAAAAAAATATTTCATTTGTGCAAACTATATACATGTAGCTTACACGATGGTCTTATCCAATGCCTTCAATGTAGCGTTATTTCCATGTCTCCAACTTCAATGGTGCTCTAGATATTATAGATATGTTAATATGTTATTTCTCTTGTCCAATGTCTTCAATATAGTGTTAGTTCCATGTTTGTACATGCAATAGTGTCTGAGATATTAGGGATATGCATATATTGCTATGATAATTTGTATGTTGATAAGAATTGTAGTTCCCTCAGTAAACTACCATGGCTGTGACTAAGAAAATGCTCATAACAATAACCATGGCAAATCGCTAATATATCATGATATAGTATATGAACTTATTTATTATGGCTCATTACCCCAATACAAGTGCGCTTCCACTATATGTTAAAAGAAATTATTGCAATAATAATACACAATTTAGGAAAAATATTATATATGTGTAATTGTTATAGAAAATGTCAACTCAACTGAGCTGAGCGGTTACATGCAAATTTTTAGCATAACGTGAAATAGAGCAATTAATTCTCAACAGCTAGTTTCAATACATACAACCAGAATCATTACTGGCAATAGAATAGATAACAATTCAGCGTGATGCGATTTACGATAGAACGACCATTCCCCACATTCTCGACCTATCAAATACTCGCGTTCACCGGGAATCTCAAAATAGAGAGCTTAGAAAAGTCAAGTGATATCTCTCCTGAGCATGCGTAGTCATTCATAACGGTAGTTGCAAATGAAAACGCTTCTCGACATTACACTCAGAACATACATATATAAATAAATACGATAAATGTGATAAATATTCTCTGAATATTACACAGACACAAATGATTGAATTCAAGTTTACATAATGCCACGTTCCTGCAGTTTATTTCCTAAGCAAAGACCCCGATATAAATTAGCAGGTAGTGTCCGGGTAATATAATATTCAAAAAGGATGTGCAACTTCATTCGAGACAACAAATAGCTTATTCAAAAATACAAGTTGTCGTAATTTTTACCTTTTTATGTGTGATAGAAGGATTTGAATCAATGAAGAAAACAGGTGTAGCGAAAGTAAAGATCACTTCGGAAGGAATTGATGGGTTCGAGACTGACACAGATTACGATCGTGGAAATTACATTCTTTCTAAAGATGATGGTTCCGAGATGGATGTCGGCAAATATCTAGTGATCTGGAAGAAAGTGAATGGAAAATATCGTGTCCATATCGATATTTTGAACAGTAACATTTGACGTATTTTGATATGTACAAAGCACATAATTGCAGTCCTTGTTACCCTGTCTGTGTGTTTTGGTTCACATCGGCCATTATTATTCCTGTTTGGTTTGTGTACCTCTTTGTTTCAACCACTTTTCCCCTATCACAAACTGATATCAATAAAACTTGTTTACCGTGACACAATATATTTACGTTGTAGTGCGGCGCACAACATGATTGCTAAGCGACCAATGACGACCTGACATGGCCAACAAAACCAAACTCTTCTTCAACATTATGTGTAGAATTGGTTCTAAATTGTTGTCTCCAGGTTGAAATCTGTACATATTAATTACATATTAATGAAATCCTCCACCCCTCTCAATACACCCTACAACACTAATAGTCCCCATACTCATTTACATGTTTGTACAACAAACTTAGCAAATAGATGCATCAAACTTTTGACCAACCACTCATCCTAATTATTGGTGGGTGAGGGCGCCATTTACTAATGAAAAGCCAGTCACACTGGTTCGCACTACTGGAGGAATATATATATATATATATATATATATATATATATATATATATATATATATATATATATATATATATATATATATATATATATATATATATATAT